ATAAATGTATAATGTTAGGAGATTTAAGATATTTAGTCTAAACATTCATGTTTTCATGTTATGATTTGTGTTCATTCTAAAATGAAAGATGCATAATTTATGTTTATTTCCTAATTTTTTATAGAGGTTGTGAGGTTGGTCAACTTTACCAAACCCATACAGAAATTAATTACTGAAAATAACAGATAAAATAAAGTTTTTTCTTAAGAAATGTTTGATAACTATTTGAACATCATAAAGATTTTGCATGTGAAATTTCGAAATTTTCTGATACATAAAAGTATTTTTAATGTTAGATGAAAATTACTTTGCATGATAGATTGGCAAGATGTGAAAAGAAAAAAGGCATGAGAGAAACATTGCTTTACAAATCTTAAAACTTAATAAAAATAGTAGATATTCTGCATATGAAAGCATTGTAATGTTTACTGATAAACTGCCAAATTTCATGAACATTTGCTTACTAATTTAAAAGTTATAAAATGAAAACTATAACAAGCACAAAATGGTTACGAGCCCGGTTGTAAGAGTTAAGATGATTATTATCATAAATATCTATCATGTTTGAACCTAGTAAATCATGTATATCAACTGAGATAACATTTATTATTACAAACAATAAGGTTTATGTAGATTATATTATATTAATTTATGAATTTATCCTTTCAAAAAATATTCAAAATACAGTTAAGAACAGCAACCACTGTGTCCCCCGCTTTTTATTTGTATATGTAATATGATCTAATAATAACCTACATACAATAATTTTAATAGAACCCCTTTCTCCAGCTAGTACTAAATTAAAAATTTAAGTTGGGTACTTTTCAAATACTATGCATCATAACTGTTATATCATCTTTCAACCTGCACACATAAGAGCAATAAGTGATTTAACAGTTTTGTATAATGTTTAATTTCTTTACAATTTCTTGACTAAATCCAGGATAGTATATTTTTAAGGGAATTTTTTTTTCTGGTTTACATGAACATTAAGGTAGCACCTAACAAAGACATACCATATTTTCCAGTGTATAAGATGATACTTTTTACTCTTAAAACAATGTCTCATTTGACCCCCATCTTATACACAGGTTCAAAGATCAAAGATAGAGTTCCAGTATGAAGTCTCTAGTTAATAACATATTTAACCAAAACTATGTTGTTCCATTTACTTTTGTTTGCTTTTTTGAGTAAGTGCATTGACATCATGCTACCTACTTCATTACAATAACATATTTGTAACTGTATCATTTGCCTCGATTCTTTATAACTAGAAGTTACTTAACTCACATACTAGTTACATTGAAATGTATTGATTTCTTCCGTCATACTAAAATATTGCTAATATTATATCAAAGATGTCAATTTCTGTAATGTACACTAATTTTGTAAACAGTTTATATTAGATCACTATATATGAAGGTTTAGTATTTTTTGTACTATAAAAGGAGTTCAACTGTGATGAAAACTTTGTAAAGTTGTTTATTACATATTTCTGACTTAAGTCATGCTGCATTGAACTGTCTATAGCATTTGAAAAACACAAAAAAAACACTTGTGGTTGTACTGATTACCTCATAGCACAGGTTAACACAGTTTAAAAATAACTTCTAATAATTTCTTTACAAATGTAACATCCTAGACTTGCTTGACAATAGAGGTCATCCTATACACAAAACCTCAAACAAATACATTTAATTTGCTCAAAAAAATCAAGGGTTGTCTTATACATGGGATCATCTTATATATATCAGCAAATATGATATGAAGGTTACCTGATTTTCTCCTGGGAAATAAACCTCCACATTTGTTGCTTTAGATTCCATGACAGGATGTACCAAAAGAGAAGAACCTACATGAGATTGAAGACACTTGTTGTAGTTATGATAGAGAACTTAAAGCTAAATTAGAAAAATGTAGGTTACAAGTTATTTCAAAGTTTAAGTTAAATTATGAAAATTGAAAAGTAATTAATTTTCTGTCTAAGTTTGATATCTTTAATCTTGTTTTTTTTTAAATTTATAAGTAGGAGAAAACAAGTTAATGCTCATTATCAAATATGCATGGAAAATCAGCTAAAGTAATAAATTTAAATCTGTTGTTCAGTTAATCAGATTGGGAAATATTTTCTACACAAACAAGAATAAACTAAACAAAGAACTGTTAATAATAACATTTAATAAAGATGATATGCTTCATAAAGCTACCAACAAATTCTACAACTTTTGCATAAGCCATTCCCATTTCTCTAAAACTTGTTTTCAGATCAATTCATTTATGCTGAAAGTGGTCTAACTATTGGATTAATGAAATATTTAGGACAAAAATGTAAAAAAATTAAACTCATTATATTTATTGCAATGAAACAATTGATATATTTAACGCTTCAGATGCGATGCATACCACATTCATCTTAAACATCGCCCATGTCAGTTGTATAAATGGATTAATTTTTATATTATCAATTACTAAGTACCAACTAATGTTGAAACTATCTTAAATGACAAGAATAACTTAAAAACAGGCATTTTTCAATGACTATTAGGACCTGGAATTAAAAATTAACAACTAAATTATAAGACTTGACATACTCTGACAATTTAACAACAATGAGCTACTAAGAGGATAAGATTTTTTTTTTTTACAGCAGACTTATACAGCTAGAAAACATAAAACTTCTTTATTGAATTTAGACTGCCAGAATTCAAGATAAACAAAAAATGATAAATTATACCCAATTTTCTGAAAAAAAAAACAAAAAAAAAACTTTTACTTCAGCAAATTTAAGACTACACTTCTAAGAATCAAAAGCTTGAAAATTAAGTCAACAAAGGCACTACACAAATGTAACTAGTTTGTGAACTACTTACGAGGTAAAAGGCCAAATCTTGGGAAGTGAAGATTAAACAAAACTTTAATATAAAACTCTTCTATTAGATCAATAAAGGAAGCAAAGACCAACATTTACCAGGGAGGGATTAGTCCCACTTTATTTAACTTAACAGAATAACTATCAAAATCATCAATACTTCATATTTTCACAAAAAAATATTTACATTCTGGAATACATGTTACCTAGTCCTGTTTTTACTAGTGAGTATCCTTGAAATAGTTAAATTATTTGGTATTACCCAAATAAAGTTGTGTTAAAATTAGATCATCTTAACAATGAAAGTTATTACAAAACACAGGTCATTTTAAATGATAGGGTAATTTCACAGGTTCCATCTCATTTTCAAGATCTGAGGTCATATACATTAATAATGAAAATACATAAAAACAAGAAAAAATGACTACCAATCATATATTCATCATCCATATCAAATGTTGTCTGATCTGACGGAAATTCCATCCACAAAGGTCGCATTGGGGGCATTCCATTTTGTTCATTTTCCATAAACAAGGTATACCAGTACGGGAGAAGAGAGTAACGTTTTTGGATTGCTGCACGGATTAATTGCTTTGTTTCTGCATCAAACAGCCAAGGTTCTCTTCGTTTAGTTTCTAAATGTGAGTGGGCCCGAAAAAATGGTTGAAAAGCTCCAGCCTGAAATATTAAATGATTTTGATAATTCATCTTAAAGATAAAGCAGTGTATGCAACACTGTTTTAAATCTTAAAGCAAAGAATAATTTTAGAAGCATTTTGGTAATATAATTAAATACAGTAGGTTAATAAAGATTATGAAGATTCACCTGTGACAAAAGAACATTGCTAAAACAAGTGTTTAATGACGTTGTTTGTCTAAAGTTGACCATTTTTCTGTACAATATTTAATAAAACATGGTTGATATTATTACACTCACATAGGAAATTGTTGGGAACTATATTAGTAATGCATTTCACCAAAGAAGAATTGAACAAAATGATGTACAAAAGTGACAGTATTCACTACAAATACTTCCATGACTCTTAGTTCTAATGCATTTGAAATTTCTAAGACAATAGTTCCATCAGCAGAGTTAGCCTAATGGCCATGTTTGAATGCAATAAAGGTTATATTTATAATCTAAAAACAGTCTAAAGGAATTTCCTATTTTATTTGTATTGATCAGCTTACCTGGTACCATCTCACTAATAGTTCAGCATCAGGATTCATGAAAAAGCCTCCAACATCAGCCCCACAGAATGTGATTCCTGAGATACTCATAGATAAGAGCATTGGGACAGTGATACGAAGATGATCCCAATCAGCAGTATTGTCTCCTGTCCACACTGCACCTGTCATGTACAAACAGGCAACTTGATGTCTGCTTGACAATATGTACAATACAATAAATAACGATTCTTGTGTATCTCCAGTTTTGTACCTGCATTTAATAATTAGTAACACAGTCTAAAATAAACAAGGTATACAAAATGTATTCACTTTATGTGTTTAAGTTTTTCATGAAAAGATACACTATAGTTATACATATACAGTCATCCCAAATTTCAAACTAATAGACTAGAGGCCACAACCAACTTTTGGGCTACTCTTATCTGATTAAATAATGGGACTGGACCATAAGTTTTATAATGCACCCATAGTCCCAAACTGTAGGTTAAATTTTGACAGAACAGTTCCTGTTTGATGAATTCTCGGAATTGTTCAGTCTAACTATTTAGCCACATCTGGCCCCACTTTAGTTGACCATTTAAGGTGTTTTGGCATAGACTCCTTGATAAGGTCTTTTCTATTATGAATAAATTTTTGTTATTATTGGACCATAATAAATTGATCTTAAAATGTTACTACAACAATTATCTAACTGGCAACTTGTATGGAACCAATTACAGATGGTGTAGAAAAGAAAATTAATTTTAATGAAAATTTTCACCACTCTCAAGTCTTTCAGATTACAAGTTTGGTTAATATGAGGATTATAAATTTCCAGATGCATTGTTTATAGTTAAAAATTGAAGTCATACCAATAATTATTAAATGAAACATACTGGGAGCAATGTTATAGAATAGAGAAAAATACTTTAGTTTTAACCAAGTTAGAGTTTAAGATTTAATATAAAGAGTCAATGGAATTCAAACACTAAGTCTTCAAAAAATATGCTCTTGCTTGCTGATTTGCTAGTTCTTATTGATGAGTAAATTTACTTAAAATTAAAAATAATAAACAATTAGTGTTAAAATAAACAATAATGTGTTATGAATCCTTCCTAATTGTTTTTAAAACTCAAAATTTATAAAAAAATTACACTTCAACTTAATATGGTTCACACCATAACAGTTGTTTTTCATGCAGTTTGATAATATAAATGGTTTCTAAAAAAACATTACTACATGTTATATCCTGGCCAGCCTGATGAGACCTGGTATTCGATGAAAGGCCTCACCAGCACTAGATACAGCAGATACAGTGTAGTTTGCATACCATTATACATTATGCTTACTTTCACTCAACTTCTTAGAATTGATATCAAACGAAAATTAGTATACTCTTCTAATTTTACATTTATAGATCTGAGACCATCATTAAATTGCCATGTTTGAATGACAATCAGGTAACACCTCACAAACCTAAGAACCCACTGTGGCATAATGAAGTGAAACTCTGCCACTGATGATGCCAAGTCTGCATCTGTTACATTAAACCGTGGATGTCAAGTCTATAATTGCTAAATCTACTACACTGTGGGTGCTAAGGCTACAGCTACTATATTGTGGGTGCTAAGGCTACAGCTACTATATTGTGGGTGCCAAGGCTACAGTTAGTAAGCAGAGTACAGAAAAAAAAGCTATGTTATAAATAATTTTTTTTGTACATATACATATGTTAAGGTCTGCCTATTTCAGAAAAAGTGAATAAATTAACAAGTTAATGAAATCAAGTTTTTTAAACACAAAAATAGATTATCTTACCATATCTCTGTGACCCTACAAAAAAGGCACGAGAAAGAAGAAATGACCGCAGATGACCATTTGACCTCTGTAAATGCCCCTTGTAAGTTGACATTGTCTGCAAAAGATAAGATAAGATTTGCTTTCTTAATGAAATAGTTCAGACCTATCAACAAAGCATACATTTTTAATTCAATTCTTGAAGAAATATTTCCCATAATTTTCCAAACTTAAGACATATAGCAAGTAAAATTGTAATATTTTGAGATATTGTTTTCCCATTCAGATAAGAACAATAACTGCAATGGCTAAAGGAAAGTACAGACATGTTATACAGGGATAATTCTGAATTTTCTTACTCTGAGACAAAGGCAGAAACCAAACATGATATAAAATGAAGTTGTAATATTTATTGTACAACAACACAAACCAAAGTTAATGAGAGTACAAAACACCAGAATGTACTGTTCTTATCCAGAAGATTGGCCAAAATCTGAAGACATTCTTATAAGAATGGGAAAGTACAACTCTATACAAAATAAAATAGTATCATCTCTCTCTCACAGTGCATGCATTACTCAAGTCACTCTTGGTCATCCCAACAGAAAAATAAGAGAGGATACATTCTCAACAGCAAAAAAATATTACTGGATATTATTTTTAAGTTCATGGAAGTGAATAAAAAAAAAGAAAAGAAACATATCAACAAATTGAAATCTTGTGTCCTGTTCGATCTAAATTCAACATTTCAATCCAGTTTTACTTCCGAGTTTGTCTACTTTTACAGAGTCTATGAATAGACATTTTCTTTTTCTATAAAAAAATTTACACAGGCCTGCAATGGTTCTATCGTCTTGAAATTTTTACATGTTCTACAGTAATTTCTGTATGCTGAATCCAAAGATGATACCTATTTTCATCCATCACATACAGATTTTTCACAAAATGTCATAATGCAATACATAGAAGAAAGACCACAACACATAGTTTTATGACTTAAAAGACATTGATTTCAGAAAAACAACCAGGATGAATGAGAATGTATTTTCATCAATGCTCTTCCCTTTTCTTCAGTTTGTTTGTATTTTTGTTAACAAACATAATAAAAAATTTTCATTGTCATAAAGGAAATATGATCTAAGTAAGAGTTTTTTCTTCCCCATTTGTAAAAAATCTTTGTGACAAAAAAAAAGTATTATTTTCAAAATCTGCACTGAATTATGGAAAATCTGTTATTAAAACCAAAACAACTTTAATGAATTTAAATTCACAGGCCTATAGTAATAAATATTGCATCTTAAAAGACTAGAGATTGTGAAAAAATTAATGTTTTCTGTCTTCTGATCTCTCACATATTATTTAGGAAACTCTAACCTCAAATTAGTCATTGTTGTATCCTGTTCTATCTAAATTCAACATTTAAATCCAGTTTTACTTCTGAGTGTCTACCTCTACAGGGTCTACAAATACACTTTTTTCCATAACAATTATTAAATATTGTGTCTCAGAAGATTAGAAAGATCATGAAAAATTTTTTTTTCTTTCTATCTTCTAATCCTTCACATATTTGGGAAATTAACTTCAAATTAGTCATTGTTATTGGCACGAAAATATTTCTGTTATTACAAATTGTAATCTGATTCATCAGATGGAAAATGAAATTTTGAAATAAATATTAAAAAAATGGTAATACCAAAGAAAATATCTTTAATTACGGGTGTTTTGAAATTTCTTCAAATTCCACCATCAGTGGTAAAATCTCAAAAAAGTTAGTTCACAATATTCTAACTACAAAAAACATTAGTTATTGAGCAAATTTTCATATTCAATTGGAAGTTTAGAGAGAAGACTTAAATGGTAACATGACAATGGAATGTACAATAAGACGTGCAGCATACACATGTTTAATAAGTAACACTGTTAAGAGAGAGCATTATAAAGAAAGGCTTAAACATAAGTATAAACACTACATCTTTAAATTAATAATAATTATCAAGTAAAAACACCGAGAACCTGGAATTGATTACATTAATGACAACAGGGAGGAGTTGATATTATTTAGTGTTGGGTGATCATTGAAAATGGAGAGACTTTCTTTAATAAAGTTTGTAATCTGTGGTTCTGCAGTTGAGAATTTTAAAGTTTTCTAGAAGTATGGGGTGGTTGCTATTCTCACTGTGCAATCGGATACAAGTCTCAGTGGATTAGTTACTGACTTTTATCTACTTCCAGCTGAAATTTCCATGTGCTTGTGTGCACGTATTTATAGGTGACATGTATTTTTATCAACATGGGTAGCTTTACAGCTTCCACAAGTGTATTTATATATATATATGAACCACAAGTACATGGGAATGGGTAGTGTGTCTTTCATTTAAAACAATTTTTTAACTCTAAATGTTGACGTAAGTGTTAAATGTAGCTTAATTTGAGGGCAATATGTTTTAATTATTTTTTTAAATTTGATATTTGAATTTAAAACTGTTTGGCAATGAAAAATGTGATAAGAACTAGTGAATATTTTGAGAAAGTGTGTGGCTTTTTGTATTTTATATGTTAAAATTTTTTGTGTGATAATGTGCAAGAAATTAAGGGGATAACCGTTACTTTGTAATATGTTATGAGTTTTGAAATATCTGAGTGAAGACAGAAGTAGTCAGAACAGATATTATACACTTTAAAAGATTTAGAACAAGGTCATGGTATAAAAGTGTCAAAACAAGTATAATCCAGTAAATGTTTTCTTATGGTAAATAGATGCGGCAAAGAGATTGATTTTTTTTACTTGGATTTTTAAAAATTAAGTTATTTTCTTCCATCTCACATGTAAAGTTTATACATGTGCATTTAGGTATTCTAAAAACTTCTTGGCATGATTTGTGTTGTGAAAGAGTAGAAAAGCATCATCAACGTATCTTCTATGTAATACTCGTTTGTAATAAAGGGGACAATTATCCAACCATTGATGTCTGTAATAACAGAGAAAAATATATGTACGGGTTGGACCTAGTGGTGAGTCAATCACTACTTCGTCTATCTGGTCATAAAAATGAAATGATTATCCTTGATAGACAATTTAAAAAGCTGTTTGAATTTCTGTTGGTTGAAGTGAGAGTGCAGGTCATTTTTGTTTTGGAATAGCTGTTTAATAACACAGGCCTGTGACGGTTTTATTGTCTTGAAGTGTTTACATGTTCTACAGTAATTCCTGTAAGCTGAATCTGGAAATATACATTTTTTTCCATCACGTACAAATTTTCAACAAAACTTCGTATTTAATTTTTTCATTGAAACACAAATTGTTAAGAGGCTGCATAATGTGTCATGTCTAGATAGTATTTGTTTGTGTGTACACTTTGACATTTCTTTCTCTCTTTTCAATATTATATAATTATTGCTATGGCAACAAGAGGTTGCCTAAATGACCCAATCCTATTCTGTTATATTTATGGTCAATTTGCTGTAGAGAAACAAAGGCAAAACATTACAGAATTAATCAAAAAAGTGTATTAGATGTATTTTGGAATAAAACTTGTGGATCAAGACAAATCATGGGCTCCGAACAAAGTTTGCACCATTTGTGTTGAAGAGATGAGACAATGGACTAAAGGTAAAAAAGTCTTTGCCTTTTGTAATTCTAATGATCTGGCATGAACCTAGAAACCACGGAAATGACTGCTGATTTTGCACATGTAATGTGCAAGGCTACAACACTCGAAATAAAAAGGAAATTTCATATCCGAACCTTTAATCTGCTATGAGACCTGTTGTTCATGGATCTGATGTACCTGTACCTACTTCACCAGAGACTCTTGATACAGTTTCATCTGATTCTGAATCTGATGTCAATAGAAATGATAAGGATTGTTTTCAACCTGAAACGTCTGGTGAACCACAACTTTTCATAGAATGTGAGAACTCAATGATTTAGTGTGAGATTTGGTCCTTCCAAAGGATTCTTCAGAGATTTTAGGGTCCAGACTTCAGGCTAAGAACTTTCTTTCTCAAGGGACACCATTTTACTGGTACAGAAATCGTGAGAAAGAGTTTATACCATACTTTTCGCAAAAAGGTTCACTGGTTTATTGCAACAATATTGATGAATTAATACCAATGTTAGGAGCTGCTGTCTATGAACCAAGTGAGTGAAAGACTTGTAATATTAATTGAAGGACTGCCAAATTTTGTGAAGGTATACACACTATATTGAAAGTTAGATGTATTAAATCTATAAAGACTTTAATCTAGTACAAAGAGGTTATGTGGTCAGTCAAATTGACCGAGCCTGTGTTGAGAGAGTTAAGAAGTTCAAGATTTTCATACATTCCCTTCAAGTGAACCGAATGAGCAATAGAAACAGGATGCACATGTGTTACCATTGTGAAGGAGAACACCTTTTATACTTCTTTTGGAGGAATCAATGAACAATCGTCACATACAAAAGTTATATTTTTTAGTGAAGTATTTCTAATAAAATAAAATAAAGATTTGTCCAGGAATATATTGAGTATTTGTTTTAAATAGTCCATGTGCAAAGTAATATTCATGTTAGAATTAAAAATAATTTTCCTCACCTCAAAAATATAAAATTTCCTTTGTGTAATCCCTAAAACCTCCTAAATGCATTTGAAACGTTTTTTTTTTCAGTAAAACTTTATAGTTTGTTATTTTGTCTACCGTATCTCAAAACAGGATCAGTAAAGTCTACCGACCTTATAACCACACAAACACAAAAATCGAAATTGCCCTTTTTTCTTATTAGAATGACTTCAAATTGTCACATGAAACTACATTCGTTTATCCTAAGTAGCTCTAAGTTTTAACAGTATACATCTTTTCATAAATAAAAATTATTTTATTGCCCTTTGAACCGTGTCTAACTACTATCCGCACCATTATAAGTTATAAATCACTTGAGGAATGTGCAGCTCATGTTATGCTATCAAATTACATTACCCACGAGCTGCTCGTGTGCGTGCCTATTGAACTATTTTAATTATATTATTATTACTTATTTTACCTAATATAGTCTTAAATAACTTAAAAAAGATCAGTATTTTTAGATTTTAGTTACTTTTATAATAACAGATAAGAAAAACAAGAAATAAAGTACTTACCCAATCTTCTTTTTTCTTGATCTCAGGTTTTCAAAGAGTTAACCCTAATTTTTTATACTATAGATAGTAATGTACTTAATTTTTATTTAATTAAATAATGCAACAATGGATATAGACTAATAGCATGCAAAAAGTAGAAAAATTGCCTTACCTCTCAACATTTTCCTGGCTTTCTAACTATGCGACAACAGCCGTTACAAGTTTATCCAAGCTAGTCACAAACTTTCCCACTAGAACGTTGCTTGTATTTTGAATGAAGTTGACATTTAAAGGTTCAGAACATAATGTTCTACAATACGTCATTTGATAGATGAAAACCTTGGCTTTCTATTGGTTATAGGTAATATATAATAACATGCAAGAGAGAACTTTCAACGAATTGTGAAATAGAGGAAGTGACAGGTGGGTGTGGCAGGATGGGTCTGATTTGATAGCTCTGTAACCAAACAAAATTGAAGGTTATAAAAATTACGGTTTGTTTGAGCAATAATGATTTTATAGTGTGTTTTACGTTTAATATTGTACTTTTTCGATAGGTGGTGGATAAAATAGGGATGACGACATGCTAAGAGAATGTGTCACGTGGGTCACACTAGTGGAAATTCAAGATTTTTTTTAAATATTGCCTTGTAGAAT